TTACTTCTCAATTTCGCGATGCAAATCTTTCAAGGTACGAAGTCGAAAGTTCCAGACCTAGTGACAGTTAATTATGCTCTAGAAAGTGTTGATAATGCAGCTTAGGATAGCCCCGCCACGGTGGTCTAGTGGCTAAGGTACTCGGCTGCTGACCCGCAGGTCGAGGGATCGAATCCCGGCTGTGGTGGCTGCATTTCCAATGGAGGCGGAAATGTTGTAGGCCCGTGTACTCAGATTCGGGTGCACGTTAAAGAACCCCACGTGGTCAAAATTTTCGGAGTCATCCACTACGGCGTCTCTCATAATCAAATGGTGGTTTTGGGACGTTAAACCCCACAAATCAATCAATCAATTAGCTTAGAATAGGCAAACTCCTATCCAAACGGGAGATTCACTGTAAAAATTGTGATGCAGGCCAGCAAGAAGTTCATTGTTTTCACTGTGTACTCCAACAAACAAGTGCTGTGGAAAATGCTAAGTTGTTTTAACTTCAATGCAAGTAGGCATACAGTGCTGCGTTAAAACATGTGCGCCGAAATATTAAAAATTAGATTTTTGCATCTTCAACTCATTAACTCCGTTCTAATTTACCTTGTATGTTATGACTGCTTCTGCAAGGAATCTAGGTGATTTGATAGAACTGTACTTTCTCCAACAAGAGACTTCACGGGAATCTGTCATAAGTTATCACTGAACATATTGGGGATGTTACACAAAATTGTATGGCTGCACACAGAACAATATCGAAAATGATCAGATCTCCGTCAGATCCTATTTGCAGATTTTTTCTCAATAGTCACCGGGGATTACGTAATCGTAAACCCTAATTTACGTCAAATCAATCTACGGTGGCGTCACAAGTGGTAATGCTCACTTCAAGTGCGACCACCGCAGATATCGTTTTTTTTTTTTCAAATAAACGCCACGGCCTAAATGAAGGTTTTCGATGGCGCACTCAGCTATTGATGTGGCCAGTGTAATTTTCAACATCATTCGCCTTACAGAGGCTACGGATGGTCTCACACGTCATGTCTACATACAGGTTGTTGCTGAAGGGTGTTTACTGAAAGGATAACCAATTTACGAGGTGGCTATATAAAGTGGCACTTGTGTAGACTGCCCGATAACACAACCTGACAGCTTTAGGGCTTTCCGCACTTGACCTCAACCACACCTAACCACAGTAATTTCAGTGCAATAAAGTACCGAAATCATTACGAGAAAAACATGACACGAAGATTCCACGTAAGATCGAACAAAGCATGGCCAGCCAACTTCTTAAATTTTTTTCAAAGTTTCATATATTGTTGCGTAATGAGTGCAAAAAGACCCGCAATTGGTTTTGCCGGCAATTTGTTTTTCGAGGCGCAGTAAATCAATAATGACAAAAAGGTGGTGTGTCACGTGTACCTGCTCTACTGTTTTTTTTTTTTACTTTGGCGGTGAATCACACAAAATATATTATAGCTATCTACTTCAAATTTGTTTTGGTAAGCATATGCATGTTTTTGCTTACGTTCAGTTGTTTCTCCCTTCCCTACGTAACGCAGATATTGTAAAAATCTCAATGTGAACGCAAAAAACGCTATTCTGCCTACTTTGCAAGCTTTTATTTCAAAAATTGCTTGCGACAAAGTGGTGAAGATTCCTCAATGTTTTTCAGCATACTTATTTTTAAAACTGGCAAAGCTTTTAATAATACCACTTATCAATAAAAAAAATCGCGCTAACTCAAGAAAACAGCATGCAAGGGAAATTTCTGACGACCATTTAAAAAAACTCATTTTTGATGTATCCCGAGCTTTCCCTACTTATTCTCTTGAACATAGACTTTCGCAATCAATAAAAGCATGTTATATACAATATTATGGTTTCACTTGTACTTACTGCGCGTAAAATAATTACCTTGCGCAAGGATAGGCAATTGCAGATCGGACTTCCTGCCCGCTAAGTATGGAATGCAGGCCTATACTTCAGTTTCTCAAACGGCAAGCAGCAATGAAATAGCTTTCGGCTGTACTGGGGACGCCAATTTCGAAATAGTTTGTTCACGGGAGCAGCCTTGAGTGCGGGATTACTGAGCGAGCAATTGCAGAGTCTGGCGTGTTCCGATGAGGGGAGTGCTCTGGAGAGATTCTAACGTATCTCTGCAGTAGCTCGACGTCACTGATCCTCGGGACCTTCAGCACCAGCCTCTATTTTTCTCCTGGTTCTGTTGAAAACCAGCTCCGTTGACAACATAGCACGGTATAGCACGTTCAGTGCTATTGCTCAATATATAATTCTCGCACATAGCAGTGACACAATTCTGCCGCACTTGTGTATCTCTGCGGTTGCTTGACGTCACTAACCCTAGGGGCCTTCAGCACTACCTCTATTTTTCTCGGGTTGGATTGAAAACCAGCTTCGTTAACAATGTGGCCTGGGTAGAAAGGAATTGGCATCGCATTGATTGATTGATTGATATGTGGAGTTTAACGTCCCGAAACCATCATATATATGTTTAAGAGAGATGCCGTAGTGGAGCAACTTGCGTCAGGATAGTTAACCTTTCCTGGCTTTAATTGAAACACACCCAGACGCAGATTTCGACCCATATTCGCTAAGTCGTCTTGGTAATTTTGTTGTCGGCTGCTAAAGCATCGCCAAGATACGCAAGATGACAGCAGCAATATGACAAGAACGCATACTTGCGACGTGCCTTGAGAAAGCTGGTCCTATTGCAGTTACTTTATATGGTCTCGATAAAGCATTTGAAGGTACTCAGGCCAAGTTCATTTCACATAAGTTTCATTGCCTGCCAGGTGAAATTTATTCATAAAGCTTATGCCTGCAAATGTGTACCCCGTTACCACTGTGCTGTTTTCCACCCAACTCATAGGTTGTGCGGAGGAACAAATTTGCAGAGCATCCCTCAGAATGTTTTTATAATTTTTCCCAGGCTGTTGTTGGGTATGGGTACTGTGAAGTGGCGTTGCCGAAAGGTAGCGAAGACCAACTGATATCACGGTGGGCAAGGGGGCACTCGCTTAGTCGGTGTCCCGTCGTACCAAGTGCTGCAGACGTCGGCAACCTTGCGTAATGCACCAACGCGTTTTCCTTATTGCCCTTGAGTATCAACGCAATGTTTGGGTTGGCTGGTTGATGTGAATCCGTAGTGGTTATTTTCTAGCGCGAAGCGACACCACAGCACTAAGCACTACTCTCCATTGACATCATTTATCGCACCCCTCCACTTTGTATACGAACCAACCAGGAGGACCTGCGTAGTGCAGATTGAACTCCACGCTGTATATCAGTCAGGCTGATGTGTTAATGAGTGTCTTAAGTAATGCGTACCGACTGGAATTGGCTCCCATTCAGCTCAATCCCAAAAAAAGCGCATTTATGAAGCCTATACTGACCATTTTCTGAAGAAGCACCGTGGCACCACCACCCGGTAATTATGGGAAACCTTCTTCATTCAGTCGTTGGATTTACACTGCATTACTGTGCTTTCCTTATTCTTATTTGCACTGAATAGTCTATTCTGATACCACGAGTGTGATCGGATGTTCAAGCTGTGGTGGTGTACAATGCGCTCGTCCTTCTGGTCCGTACAAGAAGGGAAGTGACGCAATAAATGATGTCAGTTCAGAGTGGTACTTTGTCCTGTGGTCGTTGTTGTGGTGTCATTTCGGGCTAGTAAATATACATTCTGGAACCTGGAGTATCGTCGGCCATGGTAGCACATAGTCTCTGCTCCCTTGTGGAGCAAGCGTGAGGGTCGTTCAGGCGGTGCCAGTTCCAGTAGAATAGGTCAGGTGCTTTGTGGACACTGCTTTTGAGGATGGCTTTTCAACAACATCGCCAAAAAAACGCTTTTGCGTTAGAAAGGAGCAAATGACGACAATATCTTAGTTCTGTCTTCTTTTGAGAGCCACGAGCCCAGCGCCTCGCCACGGTGGTCTAGTGGCTAAGGTACTCGGCTGCTGACCCGCAGGTCGTGGGATCGAATCCCGGCTGTGGCGGCTGCATTTCCGATGGAGGCGGAAACGTCGTAGGCCCGTGTACTCAGATTTGGGTGCACGTTAAAGAGCCCCAGGTGGTCGAAATTTCCGGAGCCCTCCACTCCAGCGTCTCTCATAATCAAATGGTGGTTTTGGGACGTTAAACCCCACAAATCAATCAAATCACGAGCCCAGCACAAATACAACTTGCATCGCAGGTGAAAATCACAAGTGAAATACAACTTGCATCACAGACATGTTTTCCCGGTCTGTCATTCTCGATGTGCACCCCTTGTGTACGTGTAAACTTTGGCGGTGTGCATACAGCTAATCGAAAAAGCAGTGAGTCGTGATATCATGGCACTCCTGACCATGTCAACGCACTCCCAGCGTGAAAAAAAAACACTGGACAAATTATACAGTGACAGGGCACCTAAACAGTCTGAACTTGTAAATAAACGTGTTCAGGTGTTTAGGACGATGCAAGGAATGCGTTATGGCCTTTTTGGTGTGTTAGGTGGGTGGCCGTATTGAACCTACTTCGTTGGAACGAAGTAGCAGTTTATACACGGCAACCAAGATGTGTGTCCAAAAGCAGATCTCTAGCTGCGGGCTCCATTAATTGTAGTGAAGCATATTTCTTAGTTTGCAGAGTTGCTTTGTGACGTCGACATGACGTTGCAAAAGCACCAGAAACAGGGGGTGCTCTACCTCCCGCCAACCAGCGGTAATCGCTGCGTTTTCTACATCTAATCTTAAAAAGTTATATCACCTCTTAATGTGACATTTGAATTTGTTGTTCCGATGACAAAACAGCAGTTGTGTGCCTGAGCCGACGTTGTCTTGAAGGCAACCTCGAAGAAGCCTTCAAGAAGACTGGTCGAAACGTCGGCTTGGGCACACATCTCTATTTGCAGAATCTTTTCGTGGATTCTTACAGAAGCATAGTGATCTTCTCACTTGTACTAGTTTATTTGAAGTTTTCTCTTTCCGCTTCTAATTACTTTGCAGGATCAACACATTCGAGCCATGGCAGTGCGCACCCAAGGGTGACCGGCCGGAGCCATGCCACAGGCCGACCGTATGCAACGTCCCCTACCAAGGTGGCCTGCGCTACATGAAGACGTGCCAGCCGTGCCCCGACGTTTACCCTTGGGTCGGAAACACCGGATTTGGCAGCAAAGGGGCGCGGCGCAAGTGATCACTAGTGAAATAATCCAGTATTCTTTTATAGGCAAATCGACGGAATGCACAAATTGTTGTCAACAGAAACGTTGGCTGAGAAAGCGGAGTGTAATAATTGCGTCTTCAAGTAAGAAGTTTCTTAACGGATGTTAGTGCTGTTTTTAAAGTAATTTTAAGACCATGGGTCGTGTCATAGTCATAATAACAACAAATTGCGGCTTTGTTTTTGCGCCAGAAACAATTGTGGCTACGTTTTTGCGCCAGAAACCGTATGCCAGCAACGACGTCTTTCACTTCTTGGGCGAATCCCGCTGACTCAGTTCAGCGAGCTTCAATGACAAAGTGAACTGGTTGAAACTTAGAAAAGCAGTGCCATTCATATTTGTTGACAGGTGGAACACGCATAAGAGCCCCACCAAAGGGTTAATCTCACTTGAAACTACGCATGCGCATGTGCAAAGTGTACGCTCGAGAGAGATGTCCAAGCTCGCTGTAAATGCAAGGGTGTGGAACTACAGGTATAGTTTCTGACACTTGCCTTCAGTAAGCAGGTCTCTTAACTAAAATTGTTCTGTTGCAAAACATACAGTTAGTTAACTACTACCTCTGCATTTTTCATGAAAGGGAAAAGCATTGTACTAGTAGTTCGGCAGACAACATACTCAGTTAAGCAGCAAAAACTGTTGATGACAACACACGCTGTCGGATTTTCTTCGTAAGATACATCACACTGCTTTGTCATGTTTCTGTGTCCATAACGTTAAAATGGAGTTTAAAAAAAGACTAGAATGTAAAAAGAATATTACGCACTTTTGTCTTATAATTAGCGTGATTCATTTATTTATTCAAAATCAAATGGCGCATCTCTCTCTATCAATTGAGACGTGACTACGCGGTGACAGCACAGAACACATACACTTTTATATTTCTTTATGACACATTCAAGCAATCTATGCGGAATCCCTTTTGAAGAAATGATGAATTGTTATGCCGCTAATCAGGCAGCAACAGACTGCAACCACGAACGAGCAGACAGCAAAAGATGAAATAAGAGAGGTAAAACTTCCAATGAAATGGGTACTGCTGTACCCTAGCCTCTGCGACCTCCAGCACTAAATTGCCCTCTTCTAGCGTAGCAAACATGCGTTTAACACGCGACCACAACAAGTCCATCTTAAATAAAAAGTATACCCACAGCGAGCAGACCAAGTTACCTTTCCGATTTTGTAGGTATTTTGGCACCTATAGAGAACACAGACGGAACACTAACACAACGCCCGCAAAATCCACCGCTTAGTGGCGCTTGTGAATGTTTTGTGCTCTTTGTGGCATTTTTTTCGCGTCTTTTAAAATGATGTATTTTAAACCATACTAATTGACACAGCTTGCATTGTTTTTGTTTTTAGCTTCCATGATTCCCTTTTCATCACAGATGAATATGTTCAAACTCGTCGTCTTGGTGCAAAAACAAAACTGAAAGCACGCATGTTTTCTTTATCTTCCACAAAGTTTACACGAAAAGTTGTTTGAGAAAATTGAGGTCTCGTATTGGATGCGTAACGAAATATACGATCATTTGCCTCTGCTGGAATGCCGATAAGTTCTAGCTTACTTTTCGCAATAGTTACCTTTAGTTCCCCGATGTTTTGTGTGTTGTGACAGCACTTGGCGTCGCGGTCTGGTTGCTGCTACCGGACCTATAGATACTGTGTTCGCTGTCTGCCTTTCGAGAAAAGACACACGCCCTACGCACTTATGGCACGTTCTGTGGTCGTCCTATGAAACGACCACCCACTACAATACTTGTAGTAATAAAACAAAGCAGAGATGGGTATGGGGATCACGCGCTCAATTGTAGACGTAGTCAGCGCTGCGCGCGTTCACGGTTGTGAATCTTTGGCGTTGCCATTGTGAATTGTTTTTTTAAATGAATGTATGTTTTGTTACATTTGAAGTACTGTTAATTTATACTCTGGAAAGTTTATTTATAAACGTGTTTCCATTCCAGCTAGTATTCGCCAACAATGAACTGCGTGTTTTCCTCCGGGCGACGTGCCTGCTGAAAGAGCGGCACACTGCTCTCTCGGTTGTGTCCTTCGCACGCACCTTGCCTGGAGCCTTCGTGCAGTTCATGTGGTCCGACTATAAGGAACGTGTTCTTGTGGCCAGGGGTATCACGGCGCTTCACGAGGTCCCGTTTCACTTCCCTCGAATCAGACCCAAAGTTATTTTTTGAGATGGCCGACCACCTACGAAGTGTGGGGTAGTTGAAACGGAAGTGCAACTGATCCACAATAGTATCGGACACGTTCGTATAGATCCATCTTGGTAGGAAGCACATGAAGTTTAGACGAGAACACGAGGCACAAGCTCTTAACTTCAACTAAGCGTTTATTGCAAAACTTCAGAATATAAAGGGGGGAAAGAAAAGAAAAAGAATATCAATTCAAAAGCCAACGTTCCGCGCCATAGAATTCACTATTATCAACTTCAACATACAAAAAGTTTTTTCCGCGTGAGCGAGATCGATGGTGCACTGAAAAGTCATCACGTGTCATTCCCGCTGCCTCAACACGTTCGCAATTTCCAGTCAGGATATAAAACACATGCTCTGTCAGAATACGGCACACAACCAAATTACCATATCCATCACAGTGGGTAGCCAAGTGACAATCTGGTGCTTTTTACACTTCATTGTGATGTCCTTTTACCCTCTAATCTTCTAAAGCTTCTAATTCTAACACCTTGGATTGAATAATTGATCACAAGCTATTAGGAACAATTGTTCTGGTTTGTGAATGATTATTTTGTAGTTTTGAAATGCGATGTAAACGTTGAAGTGGTGCTCATTGATTCCTTCTAGTGTTTGAGACAGTTTGCAAGCCTCTAAAACTCACAGACTAAATACCATGCGATAACACTCTCAAAGCGCTTGATCTTTCATTAAAATTTCCGTATGGCCACGCTTGTTGACTTTATGAGCCCAGATACAGAAAGCCATTGTTGCCCTTCGCACACACTATCAAGAGGTCTGTCGCACGTATGCGCTTCTTTATTTCCTTAAAAAATTATGTTTCCACTTAATGCAGAAGAACTTCGTGCAACAGTTTGACGACTTGCAGGCAGCACGTTACCCGATACGACTGATTTTGGCTGTCGCGAAATCACTCTATAGGAACCTAAAGAAACAAAATAGGCCGCGTAACGACACTTCTCTGCTGTAGGGTAAAACGATTGTTGTCCCCTATATTCATATCTTGGCACAGAAATCTTGAAAAATATTTGCAATAAGGTTCCTGTAAGAGTGGTCACGTATGCTGCAGAGAAACTATCGAATAGTGGAAACTGTCCTGTGCTTGATATCGCAATGTTAAGTATGCACAGTCCGTTGTTTATAGCGTACGCTTGTCCTGTGGTATTAATGCGAGTGTAAAAGAACGTCACGTTAAATAAAGAAAAAGCTACAGATGGTTGCTTGACTATGCACTGTATTGATTGCGGCTGCGTGCAGTATTTTGACAATACGTGCGTTTTATATCGCGACAGGGATTTGTCAACCCGGTTGATTGTTGAAGCGGTGGAGATGGCACACGATGACATTTTTGAGTGTGTAAGCGAGCCCTCTATCTTGCTGACGTGGAAAGAACTTTGTTTTTTTTATGTGCTGGTTGATAATAACAGATGAGTATTGCATGACAGGACACATGGTTGTTTGTTCTGGCTTTTGTTTCTTTCGCTCCTGTGTGTTCTAACATTCGGCAGTAAGCGCTTTGATGTCAAGCGCTTGTGTCTCTTCTTTCGCCTCCTCGGACAAAAGCTGTGCTCTTGCCTACTTAGATGGATACAACTGATCCGTCGTTTTTCAGAGGCAGAATTGCGTAAAAAAAGGAATTGCCTGCGCCATTTTTGTAGTAATAAATAGAACATAACATCGACAAAGTGCAATTGCCCCTGCTTTGTAGTCTTCACTTATAATTCATAACTACGACGTTGAGTAAACAAAAAAAGAGCCACCTTCAAGGCGTACGAAAGGCCGCCAGACAGCTTAACATCGTCTAACAACAGGCACCAGAGTATAGCCTAATGTATCTGTCCCCCCAACATTGATTTTGTTCGGGGTAGCCCAAAAGTAAGCGGCCTAAGTTGGGAAGTGAACTTTATCTTCTGGCTACGTGCCTGTAGCGTTGGCACGCGTTTTTTTTTCTTAAGGCGGGACCTTGTATTCGCGCCGTGGTGCGCCCGGCCTGTATATAGCAAACCTGGAGTTGTATTCTGCCAGTGGTGGTGAACAGGTAGGCTGTCCGACAGCCGCTGCCTAATTTGCGAAAGCTATGTGTGGAATTGTGACTCGCAAGCAATGAGAGAATCGGCACGGATATTTCTATAAAGACTGCCAAAAAGCGCGAACAACGAAGAGCCCGTGACCCGCGTTGAATGTGCAGGCAGCCCTCGTCGTGGGCTTTTACTTGTCTGGAATTTTTGGCGCTGTAAACACTAAATGGGAATATTTTCGCCCAAAGAATAGGGTGGCGGTGAATTTGACGACAGGATCGCAATGTTGTGGTGCTCTTTTGTATGGAAGCCATTCATAATGTACTGTGCAAAAAAGGGACGGAAACGCGAATTTAAAAAAGAAAAAGGACAGAGCTTTTGTGTCTGTCCTTTTTATCTGCTTCGTGTTTCAGGCCCTTTTTTGCGCAATACATTATGGATTAGCACCAACTTGTCCAACGAGCCATTTCTATGGAAACCGTCCATATCGTTCACTTTACGGCAGAACGCTACAGATTAACGCGGGTCATTTTCAATCGTTCGAAACAGAACGCTGGCCTATCGGTAAATCGACATTCATGCATTTGCAGTACTTTCTAAAAAGTTAAAAGCGAGACAGCAGGAAAGTAAACAATTGTCAAACGGTGGCCATTTTTTCTTCTCTCACATTTTAAATATTTTTTCCTTTAGGTTCGTGAAAAGTCGATATTGAACTCTGTCGCGGCAGAAACCTGTTTCACCGTCCCTGGCTTCCGTGGTGCCGTCGTGAGAGCCGCCGCGTGCCGCCGTCTCAGCCGAGAAAGAACTGGCTCCAAAGCGGGCCCCACCGCCGTCCGTGAAGCCACACTTGCTGGGATGGCCGACACACTGGCGGCGTCGCAGGGACGGATGTATCGCTCTCGGCAGCTTACACTGCCCAAAACGGAAGCGTCCACGAGATCTGCCGGGCACGCATGCTTTTCCGACGGCGGTGGGCGAGCGGAGGAGAGCACTTCTTTACGCACCAGCGTGCGGCGCGCGGCGGACTATGTCCATTGTTTTGCTCCTTCCCTTTGTATCCAGGCCTCTGTCGGCTAGCAAATATGTGTACTTAATGTTATAATAAATGAGACTTGAAACATCTGCCTTCACTCACTTCAATGGCACCGATCAGCTGCTGGTGTGCTGGCGCACACCAGCAGCAAACAAGGAAGGACTGCTAATTTAATGCACACAATGGCACATTTTCGTAACCAGACGAAAAGCAGGCTAAGAGCAATAAAGACATCATCTAGGCCCCGTTAAAACAGAAAATGCGTTTCAAAACTATTTTCACCACAGTTGTAAACATCGAGAAAACAGGACAGTTCTGAACGCAGCAAACGTCAAAGTGCCTTCATCGATCATTACCTTGGCGCTTTTTTTCTTTTTGCGCTGTTTGAGCGTTATAAAATTAAAACATATCCCAACACGTGGAAGTTGTGGGAATTGTTTTTTTTAAGGAGCAGCAGCAACAGCACTAACCCCTTCCATCACCCGGAAGTTCTAAATTACCGTCGAAATTTATTTTGTATGTATACGGTGAAGTATTGGGCGCGAGGACATACCGTGGCGTCACCATGTGGGCGCATACCTGTGAAGTGCATAGTTAAAGTGCTCTAGAAATTGGTGGTGGGCTGACTGGGGGGGGGGGCTGTGCATTGACGCAAGTTTATGTCTCATTTGGTCGACGGCGCCACCCCCACCTGCAATATGAGCGGTACGTTGCTGCTGCCCTCCTCAGCGCAGTTAGTTGGCCGGCGCTTCAAGCATGACCTATACTTTTATGCAGCCCCTGTTCGTAGTCTTTTTCGTAGATTTTTTCTTTTGCGTGAGTACATCTTTGCTTTGGCCGTCGTTCTGGCGCATAAAGTATCGCTGAACATGAGCGTGTCGTCAGCGAGCGCAGGAGAGGATATATGCTGTAAACCGCCAGTTTTGTATTGCGGTAGCGATCTGTCACTTAAAAAAAATATCTCGCAGTTGTATTGCATTTAAATAGTTGTACAATTTATGGGATTTTACTTGTCAATACCACTTTCTAATTTTAAACCATGCAGTAGAGGAGGACTCTGGAAATTTCGGCCAGCTTGGGTTATCTAACGGGCGCTGACATCGATTACCTTGAGACAAAACAGAATAATATTTTCATGCTTAGCGTTTGTACTCGGTAATAGCTTTACCTGAGGTTGTACTCTCAATAAATAAAACAATATTACTACAAACTTAAGCACCTTACGGGCTCTCAGCTGACATATTCTCTTAAAAAGCGCAAGAAAACATGTGGAAGTGCTCGGCAGAAAAAGCCTATCCTAATCATGCCCAAGAAATGAAAAACCGAAAATAAGGGTAGGCCAACCACATCACATGCAGTCAGATTTTGCTCCTTCAAAATCCCTCACATGCTGGAAATTGTATTTCTGTGAAAAATTGCATGCAAACACTGACATCAGTTGAATGCAAAATCCAGTTAGCAATTCTGCTGACACTGTAATATACCTGAAATGCTCATTTGCACTCTTTCCTATAGAACCATTTGTCTGTACTGCTGTACTTGAAAAAATTTAATTTGTGATGAAGGTGTCGAAAATTGTAGACAACAGTCCTTCACAAAAAAACAACAGTTCTTCACACAAAAAAGTTACAAATGAGTTATGTGGAAACCCGCGCAAGTAAGAGACTTTCCTTTCTGAGAAATGTGTTTGGATTTCCTTGTGGCTTCGTGCTACAAAATTTTGGTCTTGATACGTCAAAAAGCATGTAAAACGGCTCAATAGATGCTACAAATATATTCACAACTAACATACGACGCTGAATATTTTCAATGGCGTACTTGGGAGAGCTAAATTTGAAAACCACATGGGTTCTTTACCTTCTTCGTAAAAATTCGTTCTTCATAGTCTTCGTGAGGTATTGCCCCAGTGCAAATGCTCATCCAAACAGTTGTTTTCAGCACTTATTCTGCTGCTGCCTGTTTCCATGGTGCCTTCTTTCAACATGACACCTAGATCTGACGAACACTTCGCAGTAGCTCGCAATGCGTGTTTCAAAAAACATGACGACTTTTTCTAATCGTACGTCTATCTTCGGTATCGAAACAGACGTCCACGATGCCTTTGTCAACTGGAAAGATGTGCTTAGCCCAGTGTGGTGATGGTACCACAAGACAGCTAAATAAGGACATAGATTTGCGGTCTTCGCGTGGATTTCCTGGAATAGAAACTTCAACATCGATGGCCAGCTGTTCAGTGCTCAACTCGGCTGTCTATAACAACGGAGCGTCGTACGCGGAACAGCGCCAGCGACATCTGCAGTCGCAAATACGCCGCATCTGAGCATGCGCAGCGCCAACGATGTGCCTGCCCTGCAGTTTCCACCCTTCTTTATCTCCGTGGCCGCGATGGCTGCTTTGGCCGTCGAAGCGCTGTGAGCATTACAAAATCGAAATAAAACAACAACAAAAAAGAAATATTCTCGCTTCGGGATATCATACCACAGCAACAACGGTTTTACTTCGTCTTTCTATTTTTGTTTTTTCAAGAAATCGCTCAGAGCACTTTTGGCGGCCAAAGTGGTTGTTGCATCCGTGGCGATAAACAGGGATTAGTATTGCGATGCAGGCACATCACTGGCACCGCGCATGCTCAGATGTGACGTATATGCGACTGCAGATGTCGCCCGTGCTGTTTCGCGCACGACGCTCCGTCAAAAGTGACAGCCGAGTTGAGCACTGTTAATTTCCTGGCCTCGATGCTACAGCGTCTGGAGTATTTACGGCGTTTGTGACCAGCACCGTCGAGTTACCAGTCGTGCACAGCCGGCACTTCACTGGCAAAGCATGAAGTTGAGACTTGCCTTTTCGAGGTGGCCTTTATTTCACTGCTTTTTTGGTGAGATACACTGGCGATTTTGGCAAAATAGTGGGAACAGCGTCACTGCTTAACATAGGCCTCTCGTGTAAAATACGCCCTTCTTTGCCTGCCAGACGTGTGTACATAATCACGGATTACGTACCGAGGCTCAAGCTCACAAACGGCACATGTGTCTTTGAGTGGCTTATCCGCACGGATGTAAATTCTTCTCCCACAATCTTCTGAGCCTCTCATCACTGGGCGCGACGAACAGGGACGGTTTTGGAGCCCCGTTTACATGAACGTAACTGGTCTGGCATCCGAGCGCATAACAATGGTTCTGGCAACGTGGTGCACGAAGAGTCGATGACCACGAGGTGCTTACTACCCTTGACGAAACGTATTGACGAAACAATGCTCGACCGAAGACCTGCAGCGACTTCAAAACACAGCAGAATTAGAACAGCAGCGGGGCAAAGGGTCCGATAGCTGACATTAGCGCCACCACGCAGGCACTGCGGTAAACAAAAACTCGTTTACATTAGGGAGCCTTCATCTGCGCGCGTCTTCGTTTGTAGGGTGGTGTCAGCCTTTGACCCACCACTTGCCGTCGCCCGCTAAAACACAATGTTACCGGTCCCTATTTACTTAACAACAAGTGCCTTTTGGTTCTCGCGGTCAAGCATTCCTGCTCCACCACACCGCCCCAGCTGCATGTTGGTGCGGGTGTACAGGCTGCGGTATTAACTGCGTTTGGCTACACCGTAGACCTAGCTTCCACTACGACACCATTCTCGAGGTAAGCGCACCTACAAGAAATTTGGAGTGTAAATTCCAGGGTACTGCATGCCGCAGTGCAAGATCGTCTGGAGACGGTTCTGCTTCCCGACTTGCTCTAGCAGGGGGAAACGCTGGCCGTACGGACAAACAGACAGGTGGACGGCCGCACGAAAGAAAGCATGGACGGCTGCATGGACGGATGGACTGACACATGCACGGACGAACAAACGCATGCGTGGACGGACAAATGCATGGATAGGCGAAAGCAAGAGCGAATGGACGGATGGACGGACGGACCGGCTGACACATCACCCAACTCATCAGCATTCTCTTTGTTGATATGCTGCAATTTTTTCCTGTTCTACAAAATTGCGGCTAACTTCGGAAAACAACCCTCCAGCTTTCAGGATTTGCTATGTAAAAAAAGCCCCCCCCCCCCTTCTCGTTGAAACCCACGCTACCTTCAATGTAAACGAGCAACTTCTGAGAACGAACATTGCGGCCCGTCAGGTATGGCGGCCGTTTTAGCCTGTTCTAAACAACACCGATCAAACTTGTCACCACCCTAAAAAACGGAAACGCGCGCACGTGACATTGTTTACATTTTTGCGCCGCGGCAACGTGCCTTTCCCCGGCGAGGGTGGTGGTTGTGATTAGAAGAAGGAAAAAGACACCTGTGTTCTGCAGCCCGTTAGGGAGCACGGCCCAGCGTCTTCGGCGAGGGAACCCGCTACCCCTAACACTTTAGCATGGTTGCATTGCTCCGCGGCCCTCTCACGCGCAGCTGCATTCGGGTCTCCTTTGATTATTATGATTTTAATATTCATGTTGTACTTCACTCAACGAAATCATAAAAAATACTGCTGCAGGTTCTTCTCTGAATGGACGATTTGCTAAAGAACTGCCCCGGAAAACCTTTGCGCTTCTCACGATTCCCAACTGCCAGCGGCGGCTGCTATGGACTTGCACCTGTACTAAAACCACGGGGGTGAGGTGCACTGATTTTGTAAAAGGTAATGACTCATTCCATGTCAATTGAAAGCATCAAATGGGTATTAACGCGTGCTTGCTGTCGTAGCGGCGCCCGCCGCTATCAGTCGATGATCGGTGAAAGAAAGGAGGCGACGGCAGTCCAGGCGGTAGGCAAGCAAGAAAAGCCCCGCCGTTTATTTCGCAGTGGTTTAAGTAGCAGCTGTGACCTCAGTACCACGTGTTTCCATTCATCGGCCAGGCACAGTGAATTGGTGCGTCATGTAGGAGCGCGCTTTCAGCACACACGACACACATTCCGGCACATCCCCCATTTTACAAAATAACAGTGGTTTTGCGCTTGGAATTAATAACATTCACACATGAACAAAACCCAGAACCTTTAGTGGTAACGAATCACGAACAAAAGCTTATTCATCAATACCGTAGTGAACCGGTCGTTTAACCACTCTGCCAGACCTGGTCACAGTCACGGAAGCGGAAGGT